TAACAGGGGATTCAAGCCTAAGAACTCCAAGAACTCTTAAATTATGCTTTCGATCAAAAAGTCTATCAAATCTCGTCCGAATGACCTAAAATTTTGCACACATATCCCAAATGACACAACGAAGCTACTGACACTCTCGGAATTCCATTCTGACCCCTATATCAAAATCTCGCCTATCAACCAGAACTGCCAAAATATCAACTTCGCCAATTTAAGCCTAAATCTTCTCTACAACTCCAAAACCCATTCCGATNNNNTACGAAGCCTCTCCTGACTCACCTTCACCTTCTCTAAGGCATCCTGAACCAAATCTGTCCCCAATAGTCTAGCCTCGCCGGGCTCGAACAAACCAATTGGAGATCTACACCTCCTCCCGTACAAAGCCTCATACGGAGCCATCTGAATACTCGACTGGTAGCTGTTGTTGTAAGCAAACTCTGCAAGCGGTAGAAACTCATCCCATGAACCTCCAAAGTCAATAACACAAGCACGCAACATGTCCTCCAATATCTAAACCGTACGCTTAGACTATCCGTCCGTTTGAGGATGAAAAGCTGTGCTCAGCTCCATCTGAGTACCCAACTCTCACTGAACAGATTTCCAAAACTAGGAAGTAAACTGAGTACCTCTATCTGAGATGATGGAATAAATCCCTGCCAACCGCTCTGAAGAATAGGTAGTACACATAGGGATGAAGTGCGCGGACTTGGTCAGCCGATCCACAATCACCCAAATAATATTGAACTTCCTCAAAGTCCATGGAAGTCCAACTATAAAGTCCATAGTGATCCTCTCCCACTTCCANACCACTTCCACTCGGGAATAACCATCTGCTGAAGCAAGTCACCCGGTCTCTGATGCCCATATTTTACCTGCTGACAGTTGAGACACCGAGCTACAAATCCCACAATATCTTTCTTCATTCTTCTCCACCAATAGTGTTGCCTCAAATCCTGGTACATCTTCGAGGCACCCAGATGGATAGAATACCGCGAGTTATGGGGCTCCTCCAGAATCAACTCTCTAAACCCATCCACATTGGGCACACAAATCCAGCCTTGCATCCTCAACACACCATCGTCACCGATGGTCACATCTCTGGCATCATCATATTGAACTCTGTCCTTAAGGACAAGCAAATGAGGATCATCATACTCGCGCTCTCTGATGCGATCATATAAGGAAGACTAAGAAACCACATATGCCAACACTCGACTAGGCTCCGAAATATCCAATCTCACGAACCGATTGGCCAAGGCCTGAACATCAACTGCAAGAGGTCTCTCGCCAACTGGGATGTATGCCAAACTCCTCATACTCACTGCCTTCCGGCTAAAGCATCGGCCACCACATTGGCCTTTCCCGGATGGTCAAATATAGTGATATCATAATCCTTAAGCAACTCTAACCATCTCCGCTGCCTCAAATTAAGATCTTTCTGCTTGAACAAATGCTGAAGACTGCGATGATTAGTGAATACCTCACAAGATACGCCATACAAGTAATGCCTCCAAATCTTTAATGCATGAACTATGGCGGCCAACTCCAAATCATGAACAGGGTAGTTCTTCTCATGGGGCTTCAACTGTCGAGAAGCATAAGTAATAACTCTACCCTCTTGCATCAATACATAACCAATCCCAACTCTCGAAGCATCACAATATACGGTATATGAACCTGAAGCTGATGGCAAAACCAATACTGGAGCTGTGGTCAAAGCTGTCTTGAGCCTCCGAAAGCTCTCCTCACACTCGTCCAACCATACAAATGGAGCACCCTTCTGAGTCAACTTGGTCAAGGGCGATGCAATGGATGAGAATCCCGGAACAAACCGACAATAATAGCCTGCCAACCCAAGAAAGATACGAATCTTTGTGGCTGAGGACAGTCTAGGCCAACTTTGAACCGCCTCTATCTTCTTCGGATCAACCTGAATACCCTTGCTGGACATCACGTGCCCCAAGAAAGCCACTGAACTGAGCCAAAACTCACACTTGGAGAATTTTGCATAAAGTTTCTCCTCCCTCAATCTCTGCAACACAACTCTCAAATGCTCCGCGTGCTCCTCCTGACTATGCGAGTACACCAGAATATTGTCAATGAATACAATAACGAACGAATCCAAATAAGGCCGGAACACGCTGTTCATCAAATGCATGAATGTTGTTGGGGCATTGGTTAGCCCGAGTCTGGTCCTAAAGGCAGTCTTAAGAATATCTGAATCCTTGATCTTCAACTGGTGATAACCGGAATAGGGATCAATCTTGGAGAACACTCTCGCTCCCTGAAGCTGATCAAATAAATCATCAATGCGAGGCAAAGGATACTTGTTCCTAATTGTTACTTTGTTCGATTGCCTATAATCAATGCACATTCTCATCATGCCATCCTTCTTCTTCACAAATAAAACCGGTGCACCCCAAGGTGACACACTAGGCCGAATGAACCCCTTATCTTGGAGTTCCTAAAGTTGTTCTCTCAATTCCTTCAATTCTTCTGGTGTTATACGATATGGCGGAATAGAAATGGGCTGAGTGCCCGACACCAGGTCAATACCAAAATCAATATCCCTGTCCGTGGCATGCCCAGCAAGTCTGCAGGAAACACATCGGGAAAATCCCTCACAACTGGGACAAAATCGATACTAGGAGTCTCANGATCTACTTGGGTCTCCAGACCCCCAATAGTCACCACACATGACCGGTACACATGATCTACAATAATAGTATCACCCACCGGGGTAGATACATGAACAGGTAAAGCAAGAAACTCACAGGGCATACCCAAATAACGAGCAAAGTATGAGACACATAAGAAAAGGTGGAACCGGGATCAAATAATACAGAGGCATCTCTGTGGCAGACTAAAACAATACCTGTAATGACAGCATCTGAAGCAATAGCATCCGGCCTGCCTGGAAGTGCATAGAAACGAGCATGATCATCCCCTGATCGACCTCCCCCTCTGGGGTGACCCCTGGCTGCCTGACCTCCACCCTAGCTGGCTGGGCGGGTGGTGAGGTAACTAGAGCAGAAGTCGAGGGCTGACCCCTCTGCTGAGATGAACTAGCAATACGACGAGGACACTGCCTCCACACATGTCCAAACTCTCCACACTCAAAACAACTCCCAGGTGCGGGAGAAGGGGACTGAAGAGAACCCCTCGCACCGGAGTGACCAGCTGATGGACTCGGCTTAGAAGAACCCTGAGCTGACGGGGCACGAGATGAACTCTAGGCTGGAAGGGCACTAAGTGATGACTGGCCCTACTGAGTACCGTGAAAACCATGACCCGAAGATGCCCCACGATAACCTGGGAGGGCTGACTGAGCAGGCCTAAAAGAACGACCTCTACCATGCTGGAACTGGCCCCTCGAATGAGCACCACTATAACTGCCAGATTCTCGAGGCCTCTTGGCCTCCCTCTCCTTCCGATCCTGACGATGAACCGTCTCAATCTCGCGAGCGATATCAACCATCTCCTCGAACGTAGCACCCAACACTCTCTCTCTAGTCATCAGAATACGGAGATGGTAGTTAAGGCCATCAACAAATCTCCTGATCCTCTCACGATCTGTCAGAACCATCCAGACAGCATGACGAGCCAACTCAGAATACCTCGACTCATACTGTGACACAGTCATATCCCCCTGTCGCAACCACTCAAACTGCCTACGCAGCTCCTCTCTGCGAGACCGCGGTACATACTTCTCCAAGAAGAGAGTAGAGAACTCATGCCAAGTAAGGGGCGCTGCTCCAACCGGCATACGCCTCCCACCATGTGAAGGCAGCCCCAGTAAACTGAAAGGTAAACAAAGAATCACAGATTTAATTCTTGAATATTAATTACCGTAACCCACAGCTTTAAAAAGGAATATTAATTCTTGAAACCGGTAAACAAAGAATCACAGAGGCAGCAACTATGTGGATGTTGGATCATTTGACTTTGCAAGAGATATCACTTTTTCAGTGGGAGACATCACCGGCTAAAGTGACTTTATAAGATAACTTGAGTACTTTTATTGTCTTAAAATAAAAATAAAAACGTGACTTTAGTAGGTAATTCTCAATACTTGAATGATCATACGAGGAATTAACCCTTAATGACATGAAAGAATGAGGCTTTTCCTAAATATTCATGTAATATTTCATTTATAAGTGTGATTCACAATATACCCATAAACAATATCCGATTTGGACACGATTCTATAACACCTTAAGACTGATTTAGCCTTTTTTTCTCTATTGCCAAATCTGTAACGCCCCAATTCAAAAAGGCAAGTGACAGCTACCAGAGTCATTACTGACTTATAATGACGGGTTTTTTATAGTCGTTATTGGCAAGTGACGGGTTCAATTGAACTCATAACTTTCGGCATAGAATAAAAAATTTTACAAAATATTTATTAAAATTGCAAATATAGTAAATAAAAACCCATAACTTTAAAAATATAATGAGTTCAATGCTAAAAACCTTAAAAGATGAACCTATAGAGTTTAAATTCTCGATCAGCCTCTAATTTTTGGGACCACAGTCAAATCTTTAGGGACATTTTTTTCGTCGCTAACAGCCATTTTCAGTTACTTGTGATGATTTAGAAACCTGAGATTTTCTGAATTGGGTGTTTCTTTTCAAATTAGCAGATTGTATATATCTTCGGAGTGAGAAGAGCATCAAAAAAACATACAACAGTTTTTAATCAGCAGTGAAAAATGCAAGAGCTCATCTCATGCAATTAATACTTCCACTTTCACTTTTCAGCAATCAAAGGGAATTTAATGATAATCTGGCTAAGGACCAGTCGCACTTATCACCTATGTTGCGCGGACTCTCTAAAATGGTGCCGCATCCATGTCAGATCCTTAAAAAATGCACTTCTTTTGAAGGATCCACCACACAACCGGAGAAATTTTTTGGAGAATCCGAGCAACATAGCTTATCACTGTAGCCATGCATACGAAATACATATGCAAGAAAGAATAGGGGGAAATAAGACAGCATTAAGAACAGAAAACTACTATACTTGCCTAAAAATGACAAGCAAAAAGGGCGGAGAAAAAGAGGCAAAGAACTGATTCAGACAGTACGTGAACCTATTACTAGTAAAATGTTTGACACACGTTAAATCTCATTAATCAAACAGCACACAGTGACAAAGTTCATAAAGGATGATAGCAGAAGTGATCAAGATGCCATTGGAGGTAAGAGAGAAGCCATTAAAGGCACTCCCCTGTAAATTTTAACTTCCAATGTCATGACACAGCAACACAATTCTGCAGATAGTTGACCGGACCTATATATTGTCCTTGTGCTAGAAATAGGTGCCTTCGGGGGGCTGAACTAGCTTGCGATTGTGAGGAGCAGCCATTTCCTTTTTCAGCTGAACCAGTATGTCTTCCATTGTGTACTCTCGCTGCCAATTTGCAAGTAAAGCAAACTTTTTTGGTTCCACCTGTATCAAGAAGACAAAGTGTTGTGGCGTCTCGTCAACTGGATCATCGATTTACTAAGCGACAGGATAAGCATGAGCAAATACAAATACAAACACGAACAAAAGAATGTCAACTAGGTTGGTATACAATGCATCATGTAAGAAATGTTTGTGATGTTATTCACACAATATGCAAGTGTTGAAATAAACCCCACTTAGCACAGAGAACAAAAGTCCAGAATGTTATCCAGATCGAAAGCTCTAAACTGGAAAAGATCATTGGAATATAATATCGCGTTAGCCGCTAATCATGCATTGAGAAGGATGATTGATCCCAGGAATAAAATTTTGGGAAAATAAAACACAGAATCAATTTCGAGTCTTCGTAAATAACAGCCACATCTAAAGGCTTACAAATGAACAGCTAAAAACATGGAGATCGTAAAGTTGGAGTCTACATACTCAAGGACATCAAAAGTAAATCTACAACGGAAACAATGTAACTGCAGTTTTCCTAAATTTTTTCATGATCAAATTTTCCGCATCACAGCATCTCTGCTCTGCAATAGAGAAAGATTTTTATCCCAGAGCATGATACATTGTACAATTGCCTCCTATCCTCAATGATTCCCTTCTACATGGAATGTCATGAGAAGGAACAACTATGCATGTACTAAATTCCACCATGGTAAGGCAAAATCAGATTATCATTATTATATTTTGGATTTCCAGGTAATTTCAGTATGATAACACAGTGTTACATAAATTTTCTTGCTAACAACAGTGATGCATCAATTTTAGCAATATATTAATACTAGATTTGCTCACCACTCCTGTCTCATGGTTGACACACGTCATATTAACTCGAGAATGGAATCGGACACTTGGTGGCTTCTCTGGATAATCTTTGTCGCAGAATAACTTCAACTGATAAATGCGACCTTCATGAACGGACTGGAAACATGAAAAAAAAATACACCAAAATGATGAAAAAAAAGGTAATGTGATACTATACACAATAGAAGATAGAGTAAAGATTTTATTTTACTTATTTACTCTCACATACAAAGCCATGTTAAAACCAAACTTAGAGATGGTTGGAACTAGGAAAGAGAAAAGAATGCTAACATTGTGAGGACCAATAATGGTGCCAGTCCAGGAACGCATATAGATATCATCTCCATCATCCATCCCATAGCTCACGGTCCCATCTCCAATACCCTTTTCACCGCGTTCAAGTTCCTCAAGTAATCTGAAATTCCGAGGGACTGCAAGGAATTAAAATTTTTGGTAAGTGAAGGATTTACAAAAGTAAACTAAGAATCCATAACATTGCAGATGCTTCCAACTTCCAAGTACATGTACAGGCTAAATGACAGTAGCAAAAGTGAGTGTTAGGTCATTGACCATTACTGATGTTCCTATCATCAGATCCAAATAGCTGAAGGAGTTGCTGTATGTCAAATCACGGTAACAGTTCCAATGACCTAATAAACTCATATAAAAGCACCACTTCAAATGCAAATGAATCTTAGGCTTCATTCGCCAACTCTCATTTCAGTGGAAAAAGTAGACATTATGAATATATGGTGAGTGGCTTGAATGGGGGTTCTTCATTAACAAAAGGACTTAACCTTTCAAATGCTCATGGCTAGAGCAGAGGTAAGGGGAAAGTGTCTGTATACTGTACGTAGCCTTCTCTTTGCATTTCCGCAAAGAGGCTTTTTATAGACCTTGAACCTTGACCTAGAGTTTACTAACGGAGCAACTCTACCGCCATGCCAAGAGCAACCACAAAGCTTTATCTATCATCTTAGATATGGTTGAAAGAACAACCACAAAGTTTTATCTTACATCTTATATATGGTAGACAGCTCCCCTTTTGTTGTTATGGATAATAAGAAAGGATTATTACAACTTTTGAAGGAGCTGAAAGTCTACCATGGAGAGTCAAAGATCTCTAATATTCCATTTGTTTTTATTTTTTATTTTTTGTGAAGAAAATATTCCATTTTGTATGAATAGTTGCTGGATTTTTAGGAAGCTTAACTTCAATTATTTTTCATTTTTTGTAAACCATCTATCTTGGTGTGAGATCACTTCAAAGACATCTAGGGGTAGTTTGGTTCAGTTCTGGGATATCCTATGGGACTATCTATCCCACCTTCAATATGGGATAACTAATACCACCATTTTGGTATAAAATCTATACTAGTATTAAATAATAGAGTGTTTTAGGGCAAGCAACAGAGTATTGAGGTACTGGCTAGACAGATAGTTCAAGAAATCCATTTTAGAGGTTCAATGAAGGTGAAGATTGCAAGTGGCTTGAGAGCTTAAACTACTACCCAGCCTAATTAGTTTTGTTATTGAGATAATTTTTTTGCTATTTTAGTTTCTAAGCCCAGACTGAAGGTTGGGACTTGATGTCCAACATTCAGTGTTTGTGTATTGTATATAACTCCAATTTTGGTAATAAAAATCTAACTAATTACCAAAAAAAAAAAACCTCACAACCAAATTGAGATAACTATAATCCCAAATTTTATACCAGAATTAATATCCTTATCCCGATAACTAGGAGGCCCCTTAGGGTCTTAGACTTAACAAGAAAAAGTACATTGCAACTTCGATATGCCATTCAATGTAGCATGCACACTGTATTTAAACATAAATGTGCTCCCAAGCCCAAATTCTCCTCCTCGATGCTTGTGAATTAACAAATTATGATGATGCATAGCATATCTTATGGGTTCATCCGAACCCAGTAACTTTGGCTCAAATCTTGTATATGTGTTAACTTTGGCTCAAACCCTGTCCAAAATACTCACCCTCCCTCATAGCGGGGGAGGGGAAATTTAAATGATTCTACGAAGGAGGAGGAAACAAAAGATGCCTGACAACTAATACCATCAAACATTGACAAAATGTTATTATGATATAATCACATGGACATTCATATACTTGGATATGACAGAACATGTATAAACTCATTTTCATTTAATTACGATGAGATTTTTAACACTGTCACTAGGTAACACAAATTAACTGTCACATAAATAAGAGGGTTTTGGGTCAGCTTATAAGCTCTTTTTAGCTTATTTATGCATTTGGCAGACATCAAAAGTGCTTATCAGCTAAGCCAAAAGTGCTCTCAGTCAGTGGCGGACCCAAGTGGTGGCTAGCGGGTTCAACTTAACCCGCTTCACAAAAAAATAATAATGTGTATATGTATAAATTAAGATTAAAGCTGTGTAAATTTTGTGTAAATATTTATTTGAACCCACTTGACAACTATTATTTTACGACTAAAGTTATATACTTCTAAGGTTGAACCCGCTTGCACAAAATCCTAGATCCGCCACTGCTCTCAGCCCCTAGCATTGTCCAAATACTCATCTAAAATTGAACATTGTAAGATCTGGAAATCCAAACTCTAACTGGAATTTTTCTGTAATAAGCACTCTTTTTAACAAATCGGCGATGATTTTACTGAATAATACTTACTAAACTATAACATTTACTCCACTACTAAAAAGATGCACCAACACACCTAAATAGAGTTATCCCTACAGGATTTAGACTAACTTTTACCAATACCTCACATGAAATAAAGGTCAATTGATGACAAATTTCATCTTAATACCTCAATACAATTACTGGGTTCAGCGCAAAAAAAAAAAACCTCACATGATAAAAAATTAAAAGAAGATTGCAAAGTTCTAATTTTTAAGAGAACAGAGATACAACACTAGAAAATAATTATTGATAAGTATATATCCATAACATATAAACATAAAACATGCAATAAAGAGAGAAATAAGAACAACCCATGATCAGATTTGAGACAAAAATTAAGGGCAGAATTGGAAAAAAGTCTCACCCACGACACTAGATCCTCCTGAGCCAAGCGTCATAGCTGATTATTGCAAAATGGTTATAGGGTTTGTAAAGAGATCGATTGGATGGAGGAAAAATAGTGTACAATGGATGATGGAATACAACAAGAGGCAAAGTCAAGAGAGGCGCAGAATCTAATGGAGAAAAACGCAACAAAGGGCCAAAAAAGAAAGAGAATGGAATAAAGAGGTAATTTTTCTCTTTTTCTTTTTTTATTATTTTCCTTTTTTTTTCACCCCGAATTTGCACCAGAAAAATACCCTTTGAGGGTAAAGCTTTTATTAAAAGTGACTTCCACCTTGAGTTAATTCGAAACCTCTAGTTAAAAATATATTTACCGTCCGATTACAATTTTTGATAAAAAGATGAAAATATGATTGATAGGAAATATGCAAATTTCTAAAAAAGGAAAAAAAAAAACACAAAAAAAATATGGGAAAAGAAAATTGGGGTAGATGTATAATAACCTGAAAAGTAAAACTATCAAATGACAAAAAGAACAAACAAGCTACATAAGGTCAAATGGGGAGACTAATAAAAATATTGATCAAAATGGCTGAAAGTTGAATATTAAGGTACAAACGCGTAAAAACACTTTATTATAGTAAATAACAACAAATACCAATTGGAGTGGGATTATAAAAATCAAGACATTATAACAGCTTCGTCATATGTAATCTAAAAGAATGTAACCCGATGAAATGAAATAAAATGAGAAGCAAAAAAAAAATGTTAAAATTTCGTACTTTTGCAATAGTATAGGTAATAAATAGAAAATGCGAAATTTCTACCAATGCAGATAACATGTAAAAAAGAAAAAGAGGGCGTTATAACATGAAAAGAAACTAAGAGTAACTTGTAATAAAGTAGTACTATTTCTTCCTTTCATTTTATACCAAGGTGGTTAATTTGATACCAAGATTTGTATCTGGCATACGAATAATTTTAGCATCTTCTGGTCTCTAAATAATTTTACCCAAGCTCATCAAGTCTAGCAAATCGGCAAAAGCAGAAGATTTCCGTACAAAAGTTTTGGCTACCATTAACATGTTGGAGTTTGAGTTGGGCATACAACAAGTCTGCTGTGACTAAAAAATGGTTAGAGGAAAATTTTTCCAGCCTACAAAATCTAGAAAATTTTGACTTAATTCTTGCGCGCGGTACATTAAAGACTATGAAGGTCTCAAACGTCCAGCTTAAACAGTTTTTTGGCTTTTTACAAACTTATTTTTAGTTTTATGACCCTACCTCTTTTTTACATACGGGAAATTTAATTTTACATGTAAGAGATCTGTCTTTTACATATCTGACAAGGTCATTTTCTTAAATTCAAAATTGTAAAGGGCTATAATGTGCAAATAGCACATTAAATAATACCTACTGACCTTTTCTTTTTGGTTTTTGTACAGTGTTTATATGAAGATGCATTAGATGAAAATGAGAAACCTTTGTACAAATCAACATTGGAAATGTTGGAGGCATAAGTTATAGCAAGTCAAAATGCAACATTACATGTTCGGAACAAAAGCAGGATTTGAGAAACTAATTTTTTCACAAATGCAGATATCTCGGAGATTCCCTCATACCGCATTTAGTCCGAGTATTCATTTGAATAAGTGTACTTTATATACAAGTTTCCATTGTTCTTCAATGTGGTAATGTGTCTAGTCTTATCTTTTTATTCTCTTAAGATCAAAATTTCGCGGATAAACTTCATTCTTATATATACTAGATTGGTATATCTTGGAGCCAAACAAAGAGGCAAGTTTACCTTAGAAAACTAGTGGTGTCGTACACCAGAATATGTTAAAATAATATAAATTTGGAAGAAATGATGAAAGTAGGAGGTTATTTTGGTCATGATACTAGGAAATAGAATCCTAAAATGACACTTCGTATCTCTGCAAAGTAAAAGGGTATTCATACTATATTTGTTACTAGAACTGTTCATATCTTATCATAAGTTTGTGATTTGGTTTTGGAAAAAAAAAAAGTTCTTAATTGTTAGTATAAAAAATTGAATATGTGTGTTTTTTAAGCATAATTCATTTATGGTCTTCTCAATGATGAGTTTACCATTTTAGTGTAACGACCCGACTGGTCGTTTTGAGCAATTGCGTCTGATTCGGCGGTTTGAGGTTTCGAGGAGCTTCGTAATATGTGTATCGACTTGCGTGCATGGTTGAATTCAGTTTAACGGATGATTCAGATTCAAATTGGAAGAAGGAAACTAGTTTTGGATGTTTAAACGGTGAGAATTTGATCGGAATTGGACTTTTGAGTAAACGGCCCCGGAATAGGTCGTGGGTAATCTCAACAGCTTCGTATAGTGATTTTGGACTTAGGCACGCGTCCGGATTTGGAGATCCGTAGGGTAATTTGAGGTGTTTCGGCGAAAGTTGGAAAAGTTGAAGTTTGAAAAATGGAGAAGTTTGACTCATAGTTGACTTTTGTGATATCGGTTTAGAATGCGATTCCGAGAGTTGGAACAGCTCCGTTATGTCATTTTGAACTTGTCTGCAAAATTTGGCATCATTTCGGGTTGATTTGATAGGCTTCGGTACGAGTTTTGGAAGTTGGAAGGTTTGAAAGTTCCTAAGTTCGATTCTTAGTGTGATTCGTCGTTTCGGCATTATTTGATGTGATCTGTGACCTCGAGCGAGTCCGTGTTAGGTTATATGGTTTGTTTGTGTCTTTGGACGGGGTCCCGGGGGCCTCGGGTGTGTTCCGGGTGGGCTACGGGTCATTTTCCCTTATTTTGAATTGTTGTTTTCTGCTTCTGATATCCTCTTTCGCGATCGCGAACCGCCTTTCGCGTTCGCGAAGCTTTGTTGCTGACCACCTGGAAATCCTTCTTCGCGTTCGTGTTTAATACCTCGTGTTCGCGAAGCTCTGCCTTCTCCTTCATCGCGTTCGCGTTCCCCTCATGCGTTCGCGTAGTTATGCTATTCCACTCTTCGCGTTCCCGTACTAGTTCACGCGTTCGCGAAGAGCAGTCTCTGGGCCATAATATTTTTCTTCTTCGTGTTCGCGGACGTATTGTCGTGTTCGCGATGAGTAACATGGGCACCTTCTTTTTTTCTTTTTCGCGAACGCGATACTTCCTCTGCGTTCGCGATGCTTTAGGACCTGGGCAGAATAATAAGTACTCTATTTCGAGGGTTTGCCATTTTCACCATCTTTGGAGTTCTAGAGCTCGGTTTTGGGCGATTCCTTGCTGGTTTTTCAAGCAAAACGATTGGGTAAGTGTTCTTCACCTAGAATTGATTATATTTCATAAATTTGTCTTCATTTGTATCATTTAATTTGTGATTTGGGTTGAGGAAAATGTTGGTTTTTGAAAAAAATTCCTAAAATGAAAAATCATGATTTGAGGGGCCAAATTGTATCGGAATTTAATAAATTTTATATGATTGAACTCATGTTGGAATGGGTATTCGGTTTTTGTAAAATTTGTCGGGTTCCGAGGCGCGGGCCTGGGGGTCGACTTTTGAACTGATTTTTGGATTTTGTTAAAGATTGAGACTTTATGGTCCAGAATAGTTTCTTATGTGTTTTATTTGTGCTTTAAAGTTAATTTGGTTAGATTTGAACCGTTCGGAGGTCTTTTCACTCGAGAAGTGCATATTAGAGTATCGGTTTGTCGTCCTTGAGGTAAGTATCTTGCCTAACCTTGTGTGGGAGACTTCCCTTTAGGATTTGAGTCTTCTATGCTAATTTTAGTCCGTGCATGCGAGGTGATGAGTGTGTGCTCGGACTTATTTGTGGAAAATTTGCTCTAGGGTTTTTAGGTCCTTATGTTCATTATGTGGAAAGTATCCCGTTATGATTGAGATTAATAATTGCTTAAATTGTCTCTATATGCTCCATATGATGTTGTTAGCTTTTCTCTAATTCTTACGTATTACATTGATCCTTAATTTCCTTAATTGAAGTGATTGTCTTCTTTATTATTTTGATACTTCTTGATTATGAGTTCCTCTATGACTTCGTACAAATAGGTTACATGTCCAATTGTTGTGGTTACCGGTGTAGTTATCACGTGTTTATTATGTCTTATTGTTTTGTTGAGGTTATCGTGCTTCTTGGTTTTTCCGTGACCCTTATTATGTACTTGTTGATTCCCTTGTCGGGATGTTATTGCTTATGATATTGTTTCCCTTGCCAGGATATTGTTGCTTTAATATTGTTCCCTTATCGGGATTCTTTTGCGATTGGTGTTGATTTGTATATTGGGATCGGGTTGCACGCCACAACAAGGAGTAATAAGGGTGGACAGGTGGGGTCGGGTTGCACGCCGCAACATCATTATACGATTGGGATCGGGTTGCACGCCGCAACATCATTATATGATTGGGATCGGGTTGCACACTGCAACATCATTATATGATTGGGATCGGGTTGCACGCCGCAATATCATTATACGATTGGGGATCGGGTTGCACGCCGCAATATCATTATATAATTGGGATCAGGTTGCACACCGCAACAGTATTACATTATTGGGATCGGGTTGCACACCGCAACAAGAAAGAATAAAAGTGAATATTGATTGCATGGTGAGGATTGAGAGTTAAAGCACGAAGAGAAAGTGAATATTTGTTGTTATCAATTCAAGTGTTTTAACTGTTTAAATTCCTTTATTGTTGTGATCCTTTGTGTTGGAACCTACAGTGTTTTCAATACCTCGCCGTATTTACATATAGTATTTTAAAAGGCGTTCTTAGGGCGAGCCCTGGGGCGAGCCCTGAGGCGAGGCGTACCAAAAATGCCCCGGGGTGATGGTGGGGAGCGAAAGTCCCATAAGGTGTACGCCTGAGCGAGTTTTTTGGTTGAGGCGTAAGCCCAAGAGACATATTTTTAAAAAGGAACTAAAAACATTAAATTTAAAAGTAAACCTTTTAATTTTGCTAAAAGCCCTAAATTAGAAGTCTTTCCTAATTCTTTCTTCTAGTCTGCCTCTACCAAGAGCAGCGATTTATAACTTTTTTTTGCAACAGAAAACTTCATTCTTCTCCATATGTCAAATTCAACAGGTTTGTTCCTCCTCCATATAAAAACTTTATTATTTTGAACTCATTACTTTCCTCTCTTTTTATATTTCACTGTTAATTTGTAAATATGCATGTAATTAGTTTTTTAAGTTCAGTGC